TTTTATTTTATTTGTAGCTGCAGCTCTTGTGGGAGTGCAGAAAAGACTAAAGGGCAAACCAAGGACAGAGCACAAAGTGGGATGTTATGCACACTGAGTATCTAATATTCCATTATCAACGAGGGCACATGCAAAAATATTTGTCCAACAACAAAAGACCAAAACATGAAAAAACCCAGTTTCCTGTCATCTATGCACGTTCATTTTTTCCTCCTCTCCCACATCAGCTCCTAGCTGTTATTTAATGTGCACTTTTTTCTGCCTTATTCCTTTGACCCTGTCACTCAACACGAGCTTTTACTTTATGTCTGTGGTATTATTTGACTGCACAGCATTTGGACGACTTTCACATTGTTCCGCAGTTGTAGATATTGTCCTTCATTAGGACATGTTTGAGTTCTCGAAGGCTGTGTGGACGCTGTTTGTGATGTCACTAACAACCAAGTGACTGTGAGGGAAAAGTAGGGCAGACTGTCAGCTCAAGGCTGTGGCTGATGTTCATTTGACTATGGTCATGTGTCAATCAGAAGTTCACTGTATCGACTACCCCCCACCCTCACAGACCTACCCCCAACAGGAAAGTCCATGATTGGGAACTGTGTGTGACTGGGTGAAGTCTGCAGAGGCGAGGGCAGGAAGTGTTCAATGGCAAATGTGATCATTTATGTCAACTATTAATAAATATGAAGGAATCCAACAAAAACCAAATGTCTTAAAAAATTGTAAAAAAAATTGTACATATATATATATATATGTATATATATATATATTGCTAAATAAGTAGATCACAAAGAAAGTGCTGATATAAATAAAATAGAAATATAATTTTGTGTATCGTAGAGACCACATACAGCTACATGCATCTGTCAGGTACATCACTTTAGCCTGATCATCCTGAGCCAAAAAAGACCAGGCAGCCCTGGTCTCGATGGACCACAGGGAGAGGGGGAAACCTCTATTTCCATCATTTCCTGTTGCCTCCTCTCTGTGACCCACTTCTCCTGCTGGAACAGATGCTCCCCTGACAGCAACATCATTTACTCACCTCCCTCTTAATTACCTTCGTTAATTAGCCCTCATAGCACTCAGCCCCTTTTTGAACACACATGACTTGTGCTGTGTTTCCGTGTCTTCAGGGGCAGCGATAAGGCAGGTACATCCAAGATAACGGCGAGAGATTTGTTTTTTTTTTATTTTTGGACGAGGGAAGACGTGTGATTGTGCGATGGATGTAAACAGTTCTTTATATTGAACATATTCTCCCTTTTTTTTTTTTTTTATTTCATCATCTGATACCATTACAGCAGGGCAGTGGTGGCCTAGTGGTTAAAGAAGTTAAGTGCCACCTGCTCACTAATGTGATGTGTTAGTGTGTGGGCAGTTGTTTGCAGTGACAATATTGCACTTTCACTTTCATATGAAGCCATTTTTCCCATGTCACACATCAGGCATTGCATTTTTGGGTTTTTATTATTATTTATTATTAGAGGAAAATAAACAATAATGATTCTTACAGATGTTAGATAATTATGCTAATATAATTCAAATAATAACATATTATTATTATTTATTAATACATTAATATAATCATTTTGTTGTATTGGGGTTTATTTGTTTTCTTAAAGCAGCTGTCTCAAACAAACAAGTCCCCTCATTAGAAAATATTCTGATTTGTTGATTGTTTTACCACTGCTTTATGAACAGCAACTTTATAAATCCCTCCCCCACAGCCCCCCCCCCCGCCCCTCTTTCCCCCCCTCATGGGAGTCAGCAGTGAGCAGAAAGCCCCCCATGTTCAACATTCTAGAATTGCTGTTATTGTCAAGTGACTCTGTTGAGGGTTGAGTGACTAAATAACACGGCCTTCAATTTTCAGCTGAAGCAGGCTGTGAAGTAGCAAGATAAAGTGTTAGTAACATGTTTAATACTTAAACTTTATTTTAAAAAATGCATCATTTTAATTAAAATGTTTCTTCGCCAAATAAATGGAACAAAAACACTTTTCCTTGGCTCACGGCCACACGCCACTCTCTGTGTGATTAACAAAATAAATAAAAAAAAGCTAGAATCCCAAACAATTGACCTTTAAAGCGTCTAAATGGTATTGATCTGATTGGTCGATACCTTTTAGGTTAAAAACCAAGAGCATGGGTTTTTGTTCGGCTCCTCCTGATAAAATGTAACAAAGTAGGTTTTAGTGTAGATGGGGTTGGACGTGCAACGATGATGTGTTCAGTGATGTTTCATTATTTAGCGTTCATTCACAAATATTTGCTCCAACATCGCAAGGAAAGCGAACATAGAAATTCACAGACCTTGGCTCCATTCGTATTTGTCACGTCGGCGCTACATGACGAATGCTAATGAAAACATGCATTTGTGACTGTTTTGCATCTAAATTAAATGCTGCCACTGATCCAGGTTTCAACGTGTGTTGCAATCCATAATATCGCGCAGGTAATAGCTCTCAATCCTGACAGGAGGAACAATCCTGGTGCTTGTGTTTGTGAGGTGCAGTCGTACAGGAGCTGGGCTGGAGCCAGGACAAATTGGATTACGTCTCACCAGTGTTCCCTCAAGTGTTTTATTATCCCTGAGCTGAAGGGATAATGTGATTACTTGGCGATGCCCTTTGTTAAAGTATACACTATTATCCTGATGCTACGTGTGTGAGTTCATTAACGGCACATTATGACTTGTTATACACAAGGCACTGCAGTGCAGTCTTAGTCCGTCATCCGACTGTCCGTCTGGACACTTCCTCCTACAGTATACGTGGGCTGAAATTAAAGTTTTACTGCGAGCACATTTCAATATGTAGAAATACGCAACATGTTACTTGATCAGTATTGTCTGTCTATCTATCTATCTGTGTATCCATAAACCTGTACAGGTAAAAAGCCTTCTGAAGGGAAAATATGAAGAAATACGTACAGACGACGTGCTTTTAGGAACAGCAGGTCGTCCTATCACAGACCTTGATGTTGGACGGTAGCTGCGGCTTGAAAATGTAGTTTATTTACACTTAATGAAGACACAGAGCTGTTGATATTAACATCACTGTGTTTTAGTATCTCGTTTGGACAGGGAGCAGATAACATTCAAAGAGTTGCGGAGTCAGTACTTCAAGTCATTCTGGACTCTAATTAGACAAGTTTGGCGTCAAGCTAAGAGAGCTGCTAATGAAGCTAGATAATAAAAAATTGCCCAGCAACTATTGCCATTGTTTTACTGAAGAGTAACTTTAAACAGTTACTCTGGGGACAGATTCCAATTTGCTTTTTCCAGCCAACTTGTACAGACTGGACCTTTAAGTGCCTCAGTCACCCTCAGCAGAGGACTTTGAATTAATTTCCCAGTGTGGTGCAATAGCACACATGTGATATGATCTGTGGAGGAGCATGTGAAGACAAGACAAGATGCCTTGTTCCCCTTACGCATGAATAAAGAAGCACCTGCTTTGATAAAGGCTGATAATGTCTGCGCTCTTCAGCAGACGCACTGTCAGAGACGAAGACGAGCTGATGATTATCAGGACAATCTGCTGTTTAATCATCAAATCCCACATTCTCTCTTTCTTTTTTTTCTTCTCTTTTTCTGTGTTTAACAGTGAATCTCAACTCCAGCTTCTATAAAAAGAAATACAGTTATATACTATATGTGAACATTTTCCCAGCCAGGGGTGCATTAACCACGAAGGCCCACTGTGAGGTCACTGCTGCCCAATCCTCCAGAGCACTTCTCACTGCAAGTACAAACAAGCTCTTCAACAGTGCAAGCAATAACAGCTTCATCATAAGTTCAAGTGCAAATAGCGTTTGATTTGAATTTAATCCGTGAGGGTTTGTACTTGTGCCCCGAACCTCTTTCATGAGAGAAGCATTTCATTATCTGTTGTGAAATTAGAAAATTCTCCCTCCGCGCTCTCTCTCTCTCTGGATGATTACAGTCCTCGCCACGGCTGCAACAATGGCTGCCACTGTGAATAGAAAAACTCTGAACCTCCTTATTGCCACCACTCCGAAATAATGCGGGAGATTGCTTTTGCAAAGCATCACTGATTTCGCAGCAATTTTAAAGTGAATGGTCGTGACCACAAAGACTCGGTATGTAAATGGGATTATTTACACAAAAAACTCTGACTCGTGGCTGTGACAAATGTTTACTGCTCTCTGACCTGCTCTGATCATGAAGTGTTGATAAATAAAGATGTCCTTCACACGTGGTGGGTCAGTGTGTCCTGCTCTTGCCTTACAGCAAAAAGGTCACAGGTTTGACCCCCAGTTTTAACTTACTTGAATATATGTGGACCAGCCATGGACAACTGGGATGGACTCTCCTGGAATTTGTGTCAAAGATAATTTTCCAAATCACTTTAGGTTCTACACAATGTTTGTCTGACCCGTGTGTTGGAAAAGTTCTTCATTGAAGTGTTTTTTTTTTTAATATTAGTGAAGTTAGAAACAGTTATCGGAGATCAATATCAATATTATCAATCAATTTCTAATACTTTTCCTGTGTAACTGAGGCTGTGGAAAATAGGAGTTTTTTATAAAGGTTTCAGTTTGTCTCACTGTAAAAAATGCAGCGATGTAAAAAAGGAAAGTGATTTTTCATTTTATGCAAAATGTTTATTACCAAAATATTTATTTTAAATATTCATATATAGAAGTGAAGAAGCCTCTTGGATGAGAGGTGAAAGTTTTTCAGAAATGTCTTCCAGTTCCTTCATGGAACTTTTTGACCTGGATGACTGAGAACCTCCACAGATGTCGGCTGACACAGTTGCCAAACCATCATTTCACTGCTATTGTGTCAAATAGTACATTTCTTTTTATAAAGCAAATTGAAAATTTAGTGTAATAAAAATGTCAATTTCAGCTCCACTGCAAATTAGAATGGTTCAGCTCGGCTGAGTGACAGCTCACAGAATCCTAATCTGTTAATGTGTTTCTGTTTTACGGATGAAGTCACTAACTCCGTGTTTTGTTTTCTGTCAGGTGATGAATGTGAATCTATCTGCGGGGGACAAGGTGGTGCTTGAAGATATGGGCTACGGAGAGAACACCATGCTCGCTAACGAGTCCATTCTGATGAGGGGGTTGGTGGTGCGAAGCCACAGCAACCAGATCTCCATCCGTCTGCACAGCCCGAGGGCTCTGGCTGCGTCGGTGCTGCTCAGATACCAGTGTAAGTCTAAATCACAGAACAGAACCCATCTGCATAGAACATATTGATGTAAAAAAGTCGGGATGGAATGGAAATTTCGGCCAGAGACGTTGATACTATTGATCGTTATCGCCCGGAGCTCAGACAAACAGAGGAAACACCGTCTCCAGGTCTTTAAAATACAAAGAACTTTATCCTCCTTTCAGATTACATTCTGTTAACTTGTTTTAATCGTGTTAATCATTTTGACCTAATTAGGGACAAAACACAGAAAAGTCAACATACACACACCCTGTCATCCATGAGAGACAACTACAGTATTGTCTGAAAAGACTCCTAATGTCACTTGATGGTCTGATAATCAGTCACTGATTCCAGTAACTGAAAAAGTGAATAATAATTAAAATAATAACAATTAATATTACATGAAATCATAAGGACAACAATATTTATAATCATTATTATTGTTATTATTATTATGGGAAAATAGCAATATTAATAATTTAAACTAAATATGAAGTTAAGTACAAAGACAGTTGTTTGCATCAAGGTTTTAAACAAACCTAAATGAAAATATTTTTAAATTAGAGAACTGGAAAAAAACTCAATGTCAGTCTATAGATGATGCACAGACGCAGGTCATGACCAGGTGAACAGGTCTACAAAGAAGGGATTCTGTGATGGGAACAACATTTACAAGGTTTATGTTACCTTCAGAAATATTATTATATTTACTTACTAAATTTATGGTGAATACAGAAGGAACTCATTAGGAGTTAATAAATCAATATACAAATAAATATATATATTTTAAATGTGTGAAGACGCTCCATAGCCATGTACCATGTATAAAGCGTTAATGGAAAAAGTCAGATCATTACTCTCTGAGGATAAAAGTAATGACCTGCAAGAAAAATAACACATCACAGTCATGTGTCATTGAGTGCTTACACTGTCTATTTAATTGTGATGAAACAATTTGTCACATTCACTTTAATGTGATCAGTTTACCACAGACAGCAAAGGGTGAAGCAGCTGTGTGTGACATGCTAACATGTCAACAGAAAAACAACATAAATATCAAAGGACAAAGATGACATTTCTCTAAATCTGGGCCTCGTAGGTTAGTGATGAGAGAAGAACCCACAGCTCAGCCCTTCGATCCTCCTCCTCTCTGAGTCTGCGATGTGATTGGTTTATCAACGTCTCTCTGCTCAGAGGCTCTGTTCCTGCCTGATCCCTGCAGAAGCTGTATCAGCAATAACAACACCGAGACTTATATATCATACACACAGCGCCGACACTATCAACACCGCTACAAATATCTGACCCATTTATTATAATCCCTAACTTTGCTGAAGTGATAGATACATGCACTGCAGTCGTTGTTGGGGAAAAATGAAGAGTCAGTGTTTTCCACTGATGTTTTTTTTTTTTTTTTTTCAGCAGTGCTTCTGTTGTGTTGTGAGTTTGAGCAATTCAACACTGGTCCACATTCATGTTATAGTCACAGTGTTCTTAAAGTGAAATGCAAATGAAATGAAATATTAATCGCATATTGATTCATTTATTTGTTCTTCCTTATTGCACTTTATTTGTCATTGACATGACTCAGGGGTCACAAACTATATTTGTCAGAGGAGGGACTGGACCCTCAAATAAAAACACATTTACGTCTATTATTATTATTATTATTATTATTATTAAATCTTTCATTTTGAATCCAGGCGTGGACTGGATCGGTAAACTTGCAGAAGTTTCCTTTCCTTGCTTAGTTTCTGCCTCAAACACTTAAACAAAGGTTGCAGATCAGTGCAGGCCACGTGTGCAGCTCTCGCAGTGAAGGAGCACATGTGCTGGCTGAGATAAGATTCATCACGTTGAGGAGCCGGTGCCACTTATTGTTCCTAGGCAGAGAAAGGAAAGTGCAGGCCAAGCAGTGGCGGAGGAGAATGAGAGACAGACAGTGGATTGTTTTCATGGTTGAACATCTAATATACAAATGTGGGGCTGTCGCACAAAACCCCGTTAAAAATTCAGAGCACATCCGTGTTCCATATTCTCACCCTGCCACCAGCCACTATACATCTTATAGGAAGTCATGCAGATAGAAAAATCCCCTGTGAGTGCAAGTGGTTAAAATGCATGCCCGTCAGGAGGCACTCTGTTTGTTCCATAACTGAAGACCATAGACAGGACAGGTTACAGGGGCTCTCATTATGTCATGTAGTATTTATGGTGGTAGAGCGTTGATAAAGGGACCAAATAGGGTGACATCATACGTAGCCAACAGTCATAAAGTAGAAAAGTGTAAAGCTAGACTTAACAAGTTCGCTGACGACTGCTGAACTTTTGTCTCCATGATGATAAAAAAAACAAAAACAATCTCATCCTCACCTTTGGATATTTCAGTTTACCTGCAGCGTTGTATTATTGTGATTCAACACAGATAGGATTTGATGATGAGGATTGAGTGTCCTCAATAAAATAAAATAAAAACCACTGCAGTAAAAACCATATCACCTGCATAAAAATTATGTAAATCCCTAAATCCTTGCGATGTAAATGAAGTGTTTATTCTCACCCAAACTTGCCTCAAAGTCATTACTGCCTTTCCATGACATTGTCCCAGGATTAGGAAAAATAACCTTCATCATAAGACTGAATACTGACACGACACGAGCTGTTATTCATCGTCATAGTGTCAGTAATTTACCCTTATCTCTATTAGACTTTAGGAAAGTTTTGAATAAATTCACGATTGACTCATCAGAGACACAGTGCACAGTCTGTTTTAGACACAGCTGTGCAGTTAAATCAACAGTAAAATCCCATATGATAGACAATTTAGGGAGGAGGAGCGGTACTACCATGGCTTTCATTTACACCAAACCAACACATGGACACAATTCAGTGCAAAAGCCAATCACATTAAACTGTCGCCAGGGGCTGGAGCCAATCCCAGCAGTCATTGGGCGAAAGAGCGTGGTTCATCCTGGACAGTCGGTCTGGTTGCTGTTACAAGGCCACATTGCGACACAAATGGCCATTTACACTCACATTCATACCTGTGGTCAATTTACAGCGTCCAATTAACACAGTCCCTGATCTGCTTTAATTTAAAACTGTATTTGTAAATACAAATACTATAATTCACTGGGGAAAAAAACTGAATATCTCACTAAAATAGTGATCGATACTTCAGTTTCCCCACTGACACAATTAAAGAAAATTTTGAACATTTGAATTTCCTTGTTGCACCCCACCCACCTGGCCACTTTTCCACCATGTTCTTTACTTATTAAAGAAAATTTTGAACATTTGAATTGCCCCACCCACCTGCAATAGTACTGCACTCCCCTGTTTTGGGAGCTACTGCTCTAAGGCAACAATGCAGGCCACTTTTCCACCGTGTTCTTTACTCCTAGTATAAAGCAGCAAAATAAATAAAAATCCAAAATTGATTGAATAAAAATATTCAACTCACCTGAGACAGAGCTCCAGGAAAAGGCCACAAATATACCCAGTTACATTGGTTTTTGGAGCAATACATTCATTTGTGGGACTTCACCCAAGATTAAAAATATACAATACTATTTTGCAGTTAAAAAATACTCAGCCACATGCAATTTACAACATTTATGAAATGCAAAAAATTACAAAATATTCCCAATTTTTTGTGCATGCACTGGGTCTTTTTGTCATGGGTTTTTACTTGCACCAAAATAAGAAACATGTTTTATTACATATTAATATATGTACACTGTTTTATAATTACCACAGCAGCTGTGTTTATATGAAGCTACATGCAGTAAGATACGTGACAGGAGAGGTATCTATTTTCTGACCGTTGAGTTCAGCAGACTTGGATCACGGCCATTCAAAGTGATGGTAATGAGAGATATATTTAAATATTAATTTTTAAAATGACCAGCGTTAATATATTTCAGAGTTACACGAGGACCCTAATTGGATTGCGATACATCGTAAGACGAATGACGGAGAGCAGAAAGTGAATCTATGAACTGCATGCTTCATCTAGTCACTTGATTGAAAACTCTGATGGCGCTGACAGAAGTGGTGCCAGAATATTGAACTAAGTGGGGAGAAATGAAAGGGCCAGCTCATTCTTTTCCCTATGTAATTACACAGCATTGATAAGCCAACAAACTAATTAAAAAAGGCCATGTCTCTAATATTCTTTAAGTCATTATGAAACTGTAATTACTACAGGAGTCTTCCATTAATTAATTATGTTGCCATTTCAAATGGCCCCCTTCCTTCCGCAATAAATTACTGCCATATGAGCAATTAGCATGAATCACAGCACACACAAATAGACCAGGCTGCCAAGCAGAAAAATTAGAAGGTATGATTTCTCTATCGTGAGGCTGTGAACGGAAGAAAACACACGGCTCAATAGAGTCCCCTAAACAAATCTGTACATTAACAGCTGAAGGTTGTCGGCAGAGTGTGGTGGAGACCGACTCTGAGGTCCAGGACCAGGGTTGAACATTGTTATCAGACCTGAATTGTACTGGTTGAAGCATAAAGTTAAAAATACTTGTATATTTTCCTTTTACATATACGTGGCCAATCCACCTCCATCCCATTACGCTGCTAAGAAAAGAGCAGTAGATTATAGAAGGATTGATGGATGTCCAGCACCCACTGTAAAAAAAAAAGCTTTTCAGTGAATGATTTGAAGCTGAGTCTCCACCTGGTTTGAAAGTATGAAAAGAAAATCACCACATACAATTATCGTGAACCATGAAATGTACAAAATTAATAGTAGGTGTGACAATTTACAATTCAGGAGAAGCTGATTTTACCTTGCTGATGTAAAGCCAATCGTCTCTGGTTTCTTTGGTTGCTTTGAATTCCAAAAAACTAACATCACAAAAATGTTTTTGAATTACCAAGGGCACAGTATAAATTTAAACATTTCAGTTCATTTCTTAAACAATTACCTTCAACACAGAACCGACTGAATGATAGGAAATCAGCCCACACAAAAGCTG